CGGGCGCAGGTCCCGGCCCGCGGCGCACGTGCGCGCGTGTGCTGCCTCCTTCCCGCCCGTCTGAGCGCCTCCCACACGTCCCTCTGCCCCACTTTCCCGGGTTTTTATTGTCTCTCCCAAAAAAGAGTGGGGATGTGTGGAGTGAGAAACACTTGTTCCATTTTCCTGAAGGAAGAAAAGACAGGAAGCAGCCGGCAGGGACGAAGGTCCCCTGCACCCTGCCCCCTGCCCCCTGCCCGCTGCCCCTGCCCGCTGCCCCTGCCTCCTGCCTGGAGCTGGGAGGGGCCTGGGAGGGAGACCCCACCTCAGTGTCCAGGGGCACTGGATATTCTTTTTATCCCAAGAAAGCATTCATTCGCTTACTCATCCATTCATTCACCCATTAACTCAACAAAAACCCATTCCTATGTGGCCATTCTAAACGCATCCTATGAAGAAAGCACCCTACAAAGCATTCCACGTGTGTGTGTGTGGGGGGGGGGTATGTGCACGAAACTAACATTGTAAAGCATTACCGATTACAAGGTGCTCTAATAAACATGAGCCGGGCATTTCCTGAAGGCTCACGGTACTGCTGGCCCTGTGCTAACCTCATGACATGCATCATCCCCTTTAATACTAACCAAGCTCTAGCAGGTGTAGCATCACTAGCCCCATTTTATAGACGGGAAATCAAGGCTGTGAGATGTTACGGAACTTGCTCAAGGCACTCAGCCTTCTTTAAAGCTGGGAAAAGTGGGGTTGGCCAGGAATCCGAGCCCAAAGCATGTGCAGGTAACCGAAATGCCATACAACTGTGCCCATCCCCCACCCCACCCCCCAGGACCAAGTGTCAGGATTGGAGACTCCGCCCTCAGTAAAGGGGCCGGGAAGCTCTTGAGGCTGTTCCCAAACTTGGACAGGGTCCTGGTCAGCATACTGAGCCTCTGTCCCTCCCGAGGCCCATCCTAGTTCCAGACCCCAACCCATGAATGGAGGAAGCTCACCATTAGCTTCTCATGCGGGAGACCACAGGAGACCACGGAGGCAGAGTGTGGGGATGTAGAAGGAGCAGGGCTGGGAGTCCAGCCCCCAGCTTCTCTCCACCTGTGTGCTCCTAGGCAGGTCAGCTCCCCCTCAATGGGCCTCTGGAAGGAGGAGTTGGGACTTGTTTATTGTTATTATTCAATTGGGACTTAAAAAACATTTATTTTTTATTGATTTCAGAAAGGAAGGGAGAAGAAGAGAAAGATGGAAACATCAATGATGGGCCCTAGCCAGTTTGGCCTGCGGACTGAAAGGTCCCAGGTTCGATTCCGGTCAAGGGCACATGTCCAGGTTGTGGGCTTGATTCCCAGTAGGGAGTGTGCAGGAATATGTTTCTATCTCTCCCTCTCCCTTTCTCTCTGAAATCAATAAAAATATTTTTTTTTAAAAAAAAGAAACATCAATGATGGGAGAGAATCATTGATCGGCTGCCTCCTGTATGCCCCACACTGGGGATTGAGCCCACAACCCGGACATGAGCCCTGATGGGGAACGGAACTGAATCATGACCTCCTGGTTCATAGGTCGATGCTCAACCACTGAACCACGCCAGATGAGCAGGCTTCTTATGGCTCCCACCAAGTGCCTAGAGAGCCTCGGACAGCACCACCCCCTCCTTCTCCTTCTCCAAGGCCTCTTTTTAGAACCAAACTCATTCTACCAAACATCAGATCGGTGTCCTAGCAGCCCAAGAGCCCCTCCGAGGGCTCCTAGAGGGAGGAAATGAAATCCGTCCAGATTGAGGCTGAAGTCCCATCTTTGCACCACACAGTGCCTGGCACATGGTCGCTTAATGTAGAATTGAAGTTGCCTGGGAGTGTGTAATCTGGAGGGTGGGGAGAGGGACAGGAAATGTGGGGCTGAAACACACAAATGCCTGAACCAGAGCGTGGGCAAGGGCCTCTCCACACCTGGCTCTGATTGCCTGCTCACACACAGGGGTGTGTATCCATTTTCTGCACCGCAGAGTGAGGAACAGGTGTGTGTGTGTGTGTGTGTGTGTGTGTGTCTAAAGTTACCTTCCTCAACCCATGCCATTTGCATCTGTGTCTGGCCCAGTGTGAGCCAGTGAGAGGGTTGGGTGAAAGGTGAGCTGTAAGATAAAACAGCAATTTCCTACCTTTCTCATCAAGACACCTACCTGTCTGACCCACCTGCCCTCGGTCACTCAGAACTGCTGGACTTGGCTTCTGTACTTTCAGCATGTTTTTATTTTTCACTTTCTGCAGGGGCAGGAGAAGGCCTGAGTCTCCTCTAAGAACTTTAGGCAATCCCCAGACCAGCCTCCTCCCCCTCTCCACTAAGGGAGTCAGAAGGCCAGGAGAGGAAGAGCTGGTGGGATGGCCTTGTCTAGCCGGGGGAGGGGCTGTTGGCGGGTGAGGAGGGAGGGGTTTCTGGGTTAGGAATCCAGACCGAGACCCTCTCCCCCACCCCCAGATGGTGGGTGCAGAGGCTCATCCCAGGGAATCCTTGCTACTCCACGCCAACAGAAGATGCCCCCAGACACACAAGGAAACCTCTCCATCAGCTGACTCCACAGACATATACACATGTCCCCACAGACACACACACGCCCATGCAGCGGCTCAGACATCCAGGCAAGTCTCCCCTTTCTCTGTCTTTCCCTTGGTTTGAATTTCGTTCAGCCACATATGTTGTGTGTGCGTGAGGGTGGGTGGGGGAGGGGCAGACAGGGATGAGGGATGGCTTGGTGCCAACATCTACCTATGGGGCTTGGGCCAGGGACGCCCCCCCATAGCCACCCTGGGAGGGGCCTCAGCTGTCCCTTTGTAGCCAAGGGGGTTCTCCTGGGGGTGGCGAGCACAGAAGTCCCTTCGAGGGACTTAGGGGTCTGGTCCCCGACCCACCTTTGGGGGCTGCAAGGGAAAAAATGGGCAGAGCTGGACCCCGGAGGGAGCATGGAATTTGGGGCGACCACAACCCCCCAATGTCCGGTCTTGCCACCCCATTGTTCCCATGTGGGGGCTCTATATGGGGGGGCAAGTCCTCCCCCTCCCTCTCAATCCCTGCTTTCCCGGCTTTGGGCGGAGAGGGGAGGGCAGCAGAGATATTTATTTATTTCCTTTATTTATTTAATTTTTTTTTTTTTTTGGAGTAGAGAGTGACAGATGGCGGCGGGTCCCGGGGGAGCCGGCTCTCCCCCAATGCAGACGCATGCCAATCACCGTCTCTCATGTGATAGCTGCTGCCCGTGACGTGCCAAGCCCATATGGCCTGGCATAGAGGCTGGTACCCCGCCTGGTAGAGATGCCACACTCGCTCCGCGGCTCGCATGGCGCTCTGAAGACGCCGGTGCCCGCCGCCTGGAGGAGCCGCTGCCCCCGCTCCCTGAAGATGGGGGAACAATGAAATAGGCGAGAAGATCCCGGTCTCCCCCTCTCTCTCTTGCCCCCTCCCCCTCCCCTCCCCTCTCCCCCGGACTC